CCCCGCCCCTCCCCCCACCCGCCATCTAGTCCCCAGCGTTGCTCATTCTTTTGTTGAAAAAAATCATCGCCGTCGAACTATAATTATTCTGTTGTACATTGGTTGGTATTTATACCACATTCGCAATATAACTTTAATATATTTCTATTCAAACAAAATTATTTTTTTTAACTAATAACTAAATAAATCAATTTGATCACGAAGTATTAATACTATTTGAAAAGACCAATTTTTTCTTCGACTCTGACACAAAACGATACCCGACTGTCCTTTGTTATATACAGGATGTTTCTAATTTTGCTAATATTTCTAACATCCTTATTTAGTCATGCTTCTAGATAATATATGATTGTGATCTATGGAAAATAATTTAAACTCGTCTCACGGGATGCTTTACTCGATTCTTTTTTTTGTATAATTGAACTAAAACGAATGTGGCGGACATAATCATTGTAGCAATGAGAACACTAATTGTTGAATCTACAAAATGTTCTGATAAAACGAGCTAGTAGTGGAATATTTGAAGAAACTATTGACGCATGTGACTCATAATCGCCTATGGTCATAGTATTATTAAACAATGGATGAATTCGCTTGTCGTCATTATATATCTAACATTGACACAACAATTTCTTTAAGAAAGATGTTCCTATTCTTTTTTTCGTTCGTATTCTTGATCTGCCTAATCTAATAAATGTCTACTTTAAATGTCTTAATAAAAGTAATAATAAGTATAATATAACTGCAAATTTTAATGTGAATAGATGTATTTTACTTGTACTTACTATGAGTTATGAAAAAACCGAGGCGTTTCTTTTTCATATTTATACTAGTTCTATGCGAGCAAAGAACGTAATGTAAAAATGCAGACGGTTAAAAAACGTTTATATCAATAGTAACATGTAATTAACTAACATTAATGTCAAATACGCAGGTTGGTTGGATGTATTATATCTTAAAAGGCAATTAATAGACTATTAAAAAGTACTAAATCTAAAGTGTACATGGCAATTGAAACCGTTATTAGACGTATCGCAATATGTTACATTTTGAATGTTATTATGCTATTGAGGATCGTATGTTTAAACAGTCTTTGTTTTGCAGGCGCTGGCGTCAAGATGGAGCAGTTCCAGGCGGCGCTGGATCCTCGCAAGCAGGAGTTACTGGAGGCTCGCTTCTTAGGCGCCAAGGTAACATAACTTACCAACACAAAACACAAATATTTACATCGTATTTCTATCCATTTATGATTATAATATTAGCCGAAGACTCAGCGCACAAATCGGTAAAAGAATTCTATCTGCTTTCTGAATAATTGACGCGACGATTTGGCGCCCTTTGCTTGACTGCACTGGATCGAACACGACAGACGAACTTTAGGGGTGACCTTCACAAGGCGTAGTCATACAGACTTATTTTTTTGTTACAAATATGTAACTTTGAAAACATTTTAAAGTTGGATTACAATAAATTCTAACTATAGGAAATGTCTATGTCATCTAGACAGCTAGAATTGTCTTGAAAGCCGCTGACTCGGAGAATTATTACACATGTCTCGACATTATATTACTATTGAACAGTACTTTTAGTTCAGCATGTGTTCAAACACAGCTTTGAGAAAATAAAAAAAAATGTGTATATGTTTGTAGCCGAGCGGTAACATATAGTAACAGTGGTAGAGACCGTAACTACGGAAAGGGAAAAGGGATCGGTTATGAATAGGGAAGGAAAATAAAATAACTCAGGTAGGCAATGCAATTGCAACATTATATGTTGTTGCAGTTGTCTATCGTCACTTAACATCAGATGACCTGTCTTATTTGCCATTTTAGTGATATAAATATAACTATTTATATTTTTATTAGTATGTAACAAACATGTGTGTTACATTCACGCTTAGAGAAGTATTAGTTTTAGACGAATCAGTACTTTGTTATGATCTTATCGTTATGTAACACATCTATTTAGGTGTGTTGTTGATGTTAATAATTATCACAAACGTGTTTGTGATAATTGCTATAACAGTTTAGATATAAACATACAAAGCGGATGACATTTTACAACGAATAAATAATACCAGCTATTAACTATGTTATAGTGGGGAGGAATTGAACATTCCAGTTTTAATTCAGATCACAGATTACTTTTCTTTTCATATTTTACCTTATTGTCTTCTTTCTATATATGTGGCCAGTAAGTGGGCTCTCTATAGCTACATTAAATCCCAAAGGTTTTTTTTTTAAATTACAAGTAGTTAGGAATTACTAGCAGAACTCGGGTGATGAGTTGCAAATCAATTAGAGTTGCAACTTGGACGACTATCGGAAGAAATTTTTGTTTACTGTTACCCTTAAAACTTGTAGGCGCCCCTCTTTCAATATCAAAGAACCTTTTGGGATTATACAGATGCGTTCACAGCTTTTGTGTTACAAAAAGGACTACGGTATTTTATCGGTTATATAAAGTTTTATTGTCATCTTAATAATAGCATTATTGTTAGTGGAATTGCTTATTATGTGTAGAAATACTAATGTGGGACACAAGCCTGTTGTAAACAAAAAGGACGTGACATGTTGACGTGAAATTAATGTGGTTTCAGGCCAGACCCAGTAATTGAAATGATTTGGAAATATTTGCGTTTATAAATGGATTCAACGGCGAGGGAAAAATTCTTAAGCTTTGTTATTATCGATTGGATGAATTCTTTTGTTCTCCGTGCCACGTTTAGTGCGGCAGGTTGGCTCGTTAGCTAAGTCTGTCTGTACCGCGGAGACGTAGCTGTGTATCATTGGCCTACGTCACTGCACAACAGTCTCACCGGTTCTCGCTTACGTGTACAAAAGAAAATGGCGGCGCATTCGAGTCGCGCGATCCGAACTAAAATCTACAGAGCGACTGTCGCTTAAAAAATATTACAAAGGAACTCCACACCGAGACTTTGTTTTCTTGCGTAATATCATTGTTCTCGTTTAATGTTATTTCATGCTGTAATTACCTCGTTTTACATTACATGTAATGTGTTTACATAGTGATTAGTATTGTAGTTTTCAGCGGATCTGAATATAATAATGCTGCAGGTATGATAAATTGATTGACAGGTATGATATATACCACGTATGTTTTGGTTAGTGATTTAAATGATATATTTTTAATTATCAAATGATAAATAGATAGCAAGATTGCAGTGGCGAGTTGGTCACGTGAGCGGGGTGATAACGCGGCGGTTTACCTGCCTGGGCCGCTTTGCGCTCGATGGCGCTCGTATATTATTAGTTATGCGTTCGTGTGTTAGTGCTCTCGACCGAGTAAGTGATGTGGTAGATATGTAATTCCATTATGTGTCTCGCCTCCGTCCGTTCTCCCCCCCTCCCTCGCCGCCCCTCCGCAGCCCCCAGCTGCCCTCCTTCGTCCTATTGACGCGTCACTTTACTTTGCCGGGCCATTGCTTTTGTACGTTGTTTTGTTTTATTGATTATATTCAAATGATCCATTTTATCGATCACGTTGTACATATACTTTTCTCACCGGAACGATATTGAATAGAGTGAGTAAATCAATGTTTTAAATAATTATTCGTTGTCCTGTTTTTTGGCCGTTCTAACTTGTAAAAGTCTTTTTCATTCCATATTAGAGATTAAATGCATAATTAAGATATATACCACAAAGAATGGATTATGACACATACTTGTAGGTGTATATGTGAGTCTAAACAGTTTCGTCATTCAACAAGATGGCGGCCGAACGTAAATAGTTCACCGGCAAATGTACATATGTATAATGCGACTCGACTTATCAATCTCGGAATAGGATTCAGATTTAGAAAACCAACCCAAAGAAACGTAGGTTCAAATTGATGAAAATTAAATATAAATTCAAAAACTTTATTTTATTTTATTGAAATCTTTACGTAGAAAGTTACCGATCTCCAGCGAGCAGTTAATAAATGTATTGAAGCCGGGTACCCTGTAATATGGTTAACATTGAGCGCATTGATCGCGTGCTTGCAGGTGAGCGCGGGGGAGATACTAATAGAAACTCAACGGGCGCACCAATTCAAAACGGTGAGTTCTTATCTTTTGTACGACTTGCAAAAGGCAATTATTTTGCTTTGCCCTTTTACTTTGTTTGCGCTCAATTACCAGTATCGCGTCGTATGTATCAAATTGGCGCAATGATCGTGTCGCGACACAATCCGTTGCATGATGGCGTACACTAATAATAGATTATTGGTCGAGTAGGTACGTGTCAAACCACGCTGTGCCGCCACTCACCTTCACACAGCACATAGCTTTCATCTACGGTACATTTAATATTAGATTGATTAAGATTTTTTTTTGCATATTTATGAGAGAATACAATTCACCGACTGACTGTCTATCCTCGCAGGACCGTGCTTTGATTCCAAATGCCTTTAGCCTCTGAAATGAGTTTCGGTGCGTCCTTGAAAGTCCGAAACTTTCTCCGGTGTTATGCGCATGTGTTACATCGCATTAAATAAGACGTTAACCGGTGAGTCCCGCAGCTTTTTAAACGTCTGCAAATTTGCTATCGCTCAATTATAAAAGTGTTTACTGCGCACGAAAACTTGAAGGACATTATTATTATTATTACGCATTAACTACCACTCGATTTACTAGCGGCCGACGAATTCCGGTCTTTTGCGCAGACTTGTTTTCGAGTGTTGCGAGGCGAAACGTTTACATTAAATAGTGTAAACATGCACTATTAATAGCTCCCGTAACGAATACATTGGGATTTGTTTCGCAGTGCGCACTCCGAAGTGAATGTTTACAACGCGTAATTATTTTCATCTACTGGTGTTTATATTTAAAGTCTTCGTCATCAAATCGATAGTTTTAAATCGATTTTCACACAAATATGAAATGGATAAGTTTAATAACAAGAGGAGCAACATTTTAGTTTGTGATTATTGTTTATGATTTTTTTTGTGTTTGACTTACAATTCTCGAATTGCAAACCAATAGTGCAAATGTGTATGTCTATGATAAAAATTGTTAAAGCGGGCAGAAAAGTGTGTCGGTGCGATCGGCCTCGGTGAGCGTAGGCGAGCCTCGGGGCCGCGGGGTCAGCGACACCGCGATACTAGCGCCCCGCTGCGTCGCGCCGCGCTATCTCATTCGAAACACACCGAATTGAAGCAATGCGCCCGATTACTGCATAATAATGCTTATCGACACTAGTGAAACTATACCCTACCCCCACTCATACCTAGTGTACTTTACGAAATACATATATTTTTTTATAATTTTTATCACTTGTCTTTAAAAAACCCAAAAAAGGTTATAATATTATGTGTTATATCAATTGTAAGATTGTGTATTATTTAATAATATTTTGTCGAAGCTCATAATATGATCAACATCTCTTTTGAATAAATTATTCAGCAAGTTGTCGAGACGTGTCTCGCACAATCGGTAGCGGCACGGTAATCTGCACTGAGAGAAAGAGAAGTAGACACGGCGCAACGTTCAGTCAGTCGGTTTGCACATTCAACTCGAAGGGAAATTATAACATGGCGCACACGGCCTCGCCCCGCCTCGGCTACATTGTGCCGTCAAACCTCATTCCACCGCTTAGCCGCCCGGTTCCGCAGTTATTTTTACACGATCCGACCTTTCGCACCGTTCGTCACCGCACTCCTAAATAAATATTATTATCTCCGCAACTCGCACTCACATTTTAACAATTTTCATCGTCGTACAATCACTGAACACATACGTTTTTCTGTCGTATTATTGTGGAACGTTGTCGACATTTGTAAAGTCGATCGAAAACAATTTAAAGTATTATGTTGGTGCGTGCAGACAGCATCGATACGTGTTCTCACGCCGGCTGCCGCAAAGGCAATGAATGCGGGGCCGGGGCGGCGGCGGCGGCGGGCGGCTGTCATGCGTCAGCTGAGCGTCACGCCGCGACATTGCAAGGTCCGCCCGCACTGCCCCGCGCCGCCCGTGCCGCCTCGCCTGACCCACTCCGCCACGCCGGCCGGCTTCCTCTTTTATCGCATAAAACTGCAATTTCGATACTATCTTCGTGTTTTCATTTAAAACATAAAATTAAATTAAATATAAAACAGTTATTTGGATTTATTTATGAAGAAACTTGAATAGATAAAGTGGAATAGACGATAGGAGAGCAGGTCGGCGGCTACGTAACGTGCTACACGGCGACACGTCATTTGTTGTTGTGAATGGAGCGGCGCGCATGCCCGCTACGCTCGCTTGGGTACACCGTAGAGCCAGCCGTTTAACTTTAGCGCTCTTTGATTTTTTGTTCGGTATAACTTATTTTATGAAACTTTTTCATTAGTATAATCCCGTTACCGTTACTACGGAGCAATTATTGACTGTCGGTTTCTGAGATTAAAATTTAAAATATGTGTATAAACCATATCTTCATCCCTGTCATTATCTTTGACAAAACAGAGATAACAAAATGTTCTAAACGAGGATAACGGAGTCTGAAACCCACGGTGACACGAACGTTTTTGAACAAAACCTATACTTGTTTAACTACTTTATTTATTTTTTTATATTTTAATAACACATATGCCTATGATAAATCAATATTTACATTTTTTATGATCTAAGAATCAGTGTTAGTTACTTATCTCACTAATATATATTATGAATGCGAACATTTGGATGGATTAATGTTTTTTAGAAGGTTTCTATAGAACCGCTGCATGGATCTCGCTGTTGCAAAAATTTGGCGTAGTTATAGGCTACTCATTAAGTTTTAGGACGAAGTCTCGGGAGACAGTTGTATATACATCTTTCTGTAACGCAAGTTTTTAATGTGTCTATACGAAAAAAGATTGGTCCCTGGTAAATTAGTTTTTAATATTATGCCGTCATTTGTGCAACACACTAACCTAACTGGTTAATTGAAAGAAGTTTGTCTCGTTGCAAGGAACAAGCCAATTTTTCTGTAAGTAGAATAATACAAACGGCCCTGACTGTACAATCTTACGCTTGCTTGTTGAGTACATGCTTCGATGTAATGATTGAATTAGTGAAGTTAATACGATTATCGGTGGACACATATTGTATGGCTTTATATACTTAGAAAAGACAAGCTGAACTGAAATTACGTTTTTGAAAATTGCCGCAAGTATTGATCAGGTAGGAAAGGGTGTAAAAGGCAACATGACGGATTAGCCGTGAAAGTTAGTCATCGAAATATTATTAGTAATACAAAGCTAAATTAAAAAGATAATCGTAAATAATAATAAGTACAATAAATAAATCAGATCAATTATAAAGTGGTCGAATGATACAACAGTTATTTTGTAATGAGTGAGGGCAAATGGTTTACGTTGATGTATTTTTTCTCAGACCATCAACTATTACCGCATATTGCAAATAACAAGAATATAAATGTGAAATGAACATTTCCGTGTGATATAGGAAACAGTTGATTGCAATGAACAACGCAATAGCGGGCATCAAGGCAACCAGAGACGAGTCGGAACTAGAAATAATCAATATTGCAAGCTCGGGTTCGAATCTCGTGACGCTTCGTTGGTGCTGCACACTTGCGGCTGGAGTTGTCGGCCCCGCCTACTTCACCCTGCACACCCCTGCCCCTGCCCCTAGCCCCCGCACTAGAAAATTGGGTTAAACAGCACGCGGCTGTACGTCGCACCGGAAGAGGGGATTTTGGGGTCCGCGGAACTGCGCTTTCACAATGAGCGCGGCAGAGATGTGACCGAGTATTGATTGTCTTCCATTCCACCTAGAGACGCAGTTTCCTGCGGCGCAGCAATGCACACGCCCACACCGCACCGCACCGCGCCGCGACTCACTATATTATGTTACCTTTCGTGTTGACCTTGGCCACAAGTTTGTATTCTCACTAACATTTTAATAATAAAATATTGTAAGTAAATGTGCTTACCCGCCTGTAAATCTCTATAATTCTCAGATATGTAATTACATAATTTTTTGTATTTTCATTGGAGACCTTCTACGTCGTTATTCCTATCATTTCGTAATATTACTTTTTATTTGACAGTTTATGTACAAATAAATGGGATACGCGGAGTGTACACTTGGGGCAATTTAATAGGTCACATTTAAAGTCTGTCTAAATTAAAAGAAATCGTTAAAAAAAAACGAAATTTCGTTTAGTGTGGTAAATTACGGATGTGGTAAATTTGCGGCTCAATTGCTTATCAATGACATGCGTTACTAACACAAAAGTACACTTGACGCAAACCGGAAACTTTGTAAGAAACGCCCAAAAATGGAACTAAAAATACTGTCTCAAAATAAACTAGCATTTTCCATATTATTTTCCACATACGTACGTGTGTGTATGTAATTGTCCGAAAGCCAGAAATGTATTTGTGAACCATGCAAAAGCTGTGGTATTATTGCAATACCAAAGATAAATACTAATAAATCAATCAAATTCTAATGTAAAACATTTAAAGCAATAAGTATTAGGCAGAATAACTTGCGTTGAATATATTTCTGTAAGAAAAATAAAAGCTTCTTGCTACAAAAGCAGGAGACGGTCGGATTTTGCGGAGGTGGAGACGCGTCGGGCGGCTATTTAATCAATACAAACACGAGAATAGCACCACTCTAGATTTCGTCTCTATTCCCACCTAACTAGATGTCATCACTTAGACTAAGATATAGTTTTTTTTTATCATACTGTAAGATTTTTCAAATGTGTCTTAACTGGTTCTAATTCAGTCCTACTTAATACAAATTAACCATAGTAATAACTGATTAGTTCACTTGTGTTCACGCATATTGTATGTGGCAACGTAAATATTATGTTGCCAGCTCGCTAACTTTCCATTCGTCTGATGCGAGGTGCGCTAAAAATAGACATAACAATCAGCACAGCGCAGGCAAATCATTGGCCAATTTACATGTTCGCATATCACCAATAAACCTTTTTCATAGCTTTATATTAACGAATATTCGCAGATTGAAGACATGTTTCGCAAATAGAAATAGTTTTTTTTTTGTAATAAAACTGTAGGTGTCTTATCGCAAAGTTACGTCAGTTAGCCTTGTCGAAAATATTTCAGTGTTGAATATAAATTTTAACTTGTGCAGTCGTCACGTGGCTCTGTTTTCCTTATCATTCAATTGATTCAAACGTATTTGTATGGCTCTTTTGTGGCCTAAGTAGGCATTGGTTCTGTGAAGCGGTGGTCGCATTGCACGGGAGCGGAGGGGGCAAGAGGCTCCGAAGGGAGCACGGAGCGACAACGCCACGACGATAATGCTAATATGCCCGATTGATACGTGTCTCACAATTTTTTACTTTATACCTCGTCGTATCGTCGGCTAATAATAACAAAAAAAATGATATTATGCATACGTACCTACAAAGATTTGCTTTGCATTGCTTCACAGGAGTTTCATGCTATACCGTCAGTATAAAAGCATCAAATCTTTGTATTGACAAATTACCTATGTAGTAAAATATAATTTCAGTATAAATAATACTTCATTTATAAATGCATCCAAAATAGTTGTACAATTGTATAGGTACAAGTTATTCATATAAGTCAAAAATAAAGGATGTTTTTGACATGTTTTTTTGGATCCTTTCGTAACCATAAGATGTATACACTCATATATCTCCATAATGTATTTGATAATATCGCATAATTTTTCCAATTAATACAAAATTAATTATTACGATGCTGTAAAAGCTGTGCTTTGCATATTCTACGGTAGGATATTGTTTAATTAGCATTATCGTGGTATGTCCGAGATCAAACATCAACATACATAAATACCTGCCTACTTTATGTAAAATGTACACCATTGCCTGTTTACACAAGTTTATCGCTCAGTACTTGGCGCATACCTAATATAGGTACCTACGTTTAGGTGGATACTTGCGTACCTACATAAATACATCTATCTGTGTTTATGTTGTATACATCGCAGGCACAAACGCCTACGTAACACGTCCAGTAAGCAGTTTGTTGTGGGGCACGAGCGCCGATATCACGTACTCGTTCGCCGCAGGTCGGTGCTCGGTGGCACTCCGCCCGCCGCCCGCCGCCACCCGCCGACACCCGCCCCGCCGCCGTTGCCACCGCACCTCGTTGCGGGAATAATCGGTCAACTCGATTTCGTACATACGTAAAACTTGCGGCTTAGCTACAGATAAATTCCAGTAAATCTAAATGTCTAATAAAAATGGTTACATACTATTTACGTTGACCAGCAGCTCTTATTTATTACAGTTATTAATTGTATTATCATATTCACGGGCTGTTGACCTACAGATTTGTTCAAAATAGGTACGTTTGTGAAAAAAATCTGTGTTACGTTTTACGTGAGTTTTGAAATAAAACGAAAAATAAATATGATGTAAATATTAATTTCTCTGGATTAACAATACTCTCGGCCTTGTATCCTTGTAAAATGGCGCCTCGCCTGACGGTATTATTATTACATTCGGAGCAAACTTCGTGACGATCTCCATTCTCCACACCCCCCGCTACTTCGCCCCGCGGATGCGTATCCGATTGTTGCGAGTCGCGGCTGGCGTTTACAACTTGTCAAACTAGTTAGGTTATTTCAACGGTTGGAGTGAAAATTCAATAATTATGTTTAAAATTGATATAAAGTTTAATAAATAATTTGTTAGTATAGACAGTGATTGGTTTAGTGTGATAATAAATGTGTGGTAAACGAGTTTAACTGGGCGAGTCATATGTAAAGACGCCATCTTTCTTTACAGATGTCAGCTGGGTCACAAATTCAGATGGCACCACAAACTACTGTCAACACGGGGCAGCCACTACATAACCAGGACTCCAATATGAGCACAGGTAATTGTGGATCGGTGATCAAAGTGGCGTAAAATAAATGTGATGTGTTCAGTGAATTTGTGTTTACAACACTCGACCGCTCATTGAGAATAACCTCAATTCAATCTGGAAGATCGAACTTTAGTGGAATTTGTAATTTAGAGAAGGATTGTGACGTTGTCATAAAGTATATAATGCCGTTTAGCAACTGTGGTTGTGCCATTTTTACTTCTGTCGCATGGGATTATCGCTTGCCACAATGCAAGACTATGAAAATGGACTTAACGTAAACATCGTCGGACTACATCACAACTATTTAACAAAAAGTGAGTTTTACAATAACGATGCTTAGTTAGTCTATCCTAACTAAAATATAATTGGTGACTTCGAGTGTAATTGTCACTAAATTTCTGTTTTATCAGTAATTGAAAACAGTAAAACATTATCTATCAAACACAAGTATATATCAGCTATTAATTGTTACATGTTAACATAAACTAAGTAAAATATGTACATTGTTACTTGAATTTAAAGCAAATACAATGAGACATGCACACATATTACAGGGTCTTCACATAGTGACAAAGAAATTGATGCTTTAACCCCTGAGAAGTCTGCCGCTATGCGAGGCTCTACTGTAGGTCCTGGCAATGCCCTTGTACCACCCAGTGGTGCTACTCCCACCATTGCTGTGCCTGAAAGGAAAAGGAAAAGAAAAGGTAAGATCAATTGTTTTCCTCATACATTTTTGTAAGTCTTTTGAGTTATGTAGAGTAAAGGATGCCTAAAGTCGAGGAACTCCTATTTGAGGTACACATTCTTTGTGATGATTTTAAACAATGATTTTATACCTTAACCACGGAAAATTATGTGTATTTAAACTTACTGTTTTGATTATATGGTGTGGATTTTGCCAAGATTTTTTTGTAAATTTTTCAGTCTAAATCTCTATTTTTGTCTATCTATCTTTATTTCTGTATGCAACTAATTCTTTTTCATTAATATTTTAGGTGAAGAAGGAGTGGGTGGTGGTGGAGGAGGTGGAGGAAAGCAGAGACATAATACAGCTGATAAAAACATTCGGGAATACTTTTCCAAGCATCCTTCGTCAAGCCCTGTTAGGCATACAGGAGCTAAATCTCCATCACCTCAAGGAGCTAATTATCCTATGGTAATTTTAATAATTGTGTCATTAAAACTTAAATTAATTTTAATTTAATCTTACATTTGTGTAATGTAGTTGGAAAAAAAATTGGAATTATATACCCACCAATTTGAGAATACTGATTTGTCTCAAATACAACTATGTTCTATTGGTGTTCTACTTTATAATAGGTTCAGTAGTTTTAGAAATTACTTGTAAATATAAAAAATCTTTTCTTTTTAATGTAATTCATATTAATTGTGTTTATTTTCTAAAAATAAAAATTATATTTTAATTGTACCATTTGTTTAGTTTGATTATTTTATTGTATGGCAGTACCCACCGTCACCGTCGCAAATACTGTCTTCGGGAGAATTCTTTCGGCAACGCCCACACACTTCTGTTAGACAGGTAACATTCTATTTAGAATTATATTTTACATAAATTATCTGCAAATTTAAATATAATAATTGTTTATGAAAATACAAATGGAAAATTAAAATGTATTAGGCTTTAGTTGTTGAAGATGCATACAAAGATTATTGTCATTTTATATTAATACTATCTCTCGCTCGCAACTCCGTCCGTGCGGAATTAAAAAAAAAATTATTACCCTATGTGTTCTTCCAGACTATGGTCTATATGCTAAATTTCATCTTGTTCCGATCAGCTATTCTGGAGATACCTTCAAACATACATCCATCCATTCAACATTCACATTTATAATATTAAGATTTGATTTCCTTTTTAATGTATAGGAATAAATTATTATATATGTATATAGATATAGTATCTATGTAATAAAGGTCAATATAGTAACAAACAATAAGTATGTATGATCAAAATGGTATTAATCCATTATGGGGCTATAACTACAAATACAGTTCTCTTATGACCATAACTGGTTAAGTTCTAAGAAACAAAACATTTATCTATAAAACTACTACAAACGTTATATCTATAAAATAAAATATTATCATTAACAGATGCAAACAGAACTGACATGCCAGAGGATACAGGAGTTAGAAACTCAGGCGTCTTCTGACTTAGAGCTAAGAAATAATAGAATAGAAGAATTAACAAGGAGTAATGAAGAGTTGAAACATCAGGTTCAAGCTCAGAGCAAGGTAAGTGAACATGCACTTTGTAAAAAGATATGTAATCAATTTGAAAAGCAATAAGCCTTACTGCATCTAGCCTAATTCAAATGACATCTCAATTTTTACAAGGTTTTTACTTTTACAAATGGAATGAATATATCCATTTCATACAGACATATCATGTTTAAATACTTCCTGATCTTTGTTATTTATCTATGTTATTTTTTATGTTATATAGGTAATAGATCAACACAAATCACACATTAATAAATGTATAGAAGTGGTAAAGAAATTATTAAATGAGAAGAGTACTATTGAAAAGAAGGAGGCTCGGCAGAGATGTATGCAGAACAGATTAAGGCTCGGTCAATTTGTTACTCAGCGTGTTGGGGCTACCTTCCAAGAGAATTGGACTGATGGATATGCATTTCAAGAACTAACAAGGTAATTCAAATGAGTTAAAATGAAAAACTTATGCTGGTTTATGGATTGTGAGCTTTTCTATTTAATGATATCTTAAGTTGCTTTATTGTTCAGTTCTCCGAAGTTAAATGATCATTTAAGAATAAATAGAGGACTTAATTTTCATTGAAATTCATTGAGAAAATATGAAGTTTGTTATATTTTGTAACTCTGCTTAAGTGGGGCCCAGCCCTTTTTGGAATTATATTCTTTAATTGATCAACACAATTAGATTTTAAATGATATTTTACTTAGCACTTAATAAATCTTCAAGGTTTGATCTCAACATTCTTGGAAATAGGCTTCAGCCTATTTATATACAGTGAGAAAACAATTATTAAAATTTTCAACTGACATGTTGCCTCAATAGCAAAACCTAGAGAGTGAACATTTAGAACATAATTTAAATTAAATTGTTAATGTTTTACAATTACCATATTGTGCTTTGCTTTGGATCTTTGCGATTACATCAACTTTCTGTTAAAACTATATTTACAGTGGTTTTATGCCCAGTTTACATTATTCCTTGCATCTAGGGATCACATAGAGTGCTGAATTGTAACTGAAAAATTATAAACAAGCAATGGAACCCAAACATTTCATTCTAGTGTGGTTTTAAATTTTTTAGTTATAATTCACCGCTTGATTTGGTCTTTGGAAAATTTTAACTTGGCATTATTTCTGTATATTACCATGACGTATTAGTTATTTCTGTTTATTTCTTTATTATTATTTTCTTATAAATTTTCTCAATTTATATCAGGCGGCAAGAGGAGATAACAGCAGAAAAGGAGGAAATAGATCGTCAGAAGAAACTGCTGCTGAAGAAGCGCCGGAGCGAGCCGTCCAACAGCGAGGGTGGGGGCCGCGGCAAGCGCACTTCCAGCGTGTCTGCGCCCAGCACGCCACAGCCGCAGCCGCTGCACAATGGCACTGATCCGCCCACCTTCCTCAAGCCCGACCCCTTGCCCAGCATGACGTGGCAGGAGTATTACGAGGCTGATGAGATTCTTAAAGTAAGTTTATCCATGTGTTGATGTGAACATGAAGCAGCATTAATCATGTTGATATTTCAAAATCTCATTAAACTTAAGAATCTAACTTAACTTTTGGGTCATAAAATTGTATTTAATTACCTACTATGGCTAAACTTGGCCATATGTACTTTATTTATAAATGTGGATGGCAGGTTGCTTAAGTTTTTATCTTTTACAATGAATAGTATGCAAAATAATGAATTAGCATAAGTAATTTAATGAAATTGTTATTTTCCAGTTAAGACAGAGTGCGCTTAAAAAGGAAGATGCAGACTTGCAGCTTGAGATGGAGAAATTGGAACGGGAAAGGAATCTTCACATTAGAGAGCTAAAGCGAATACACAATGAGGATCAGAGCAGATTCTCACAGCATCCTGTCTTGTCTGAGAGGTATGTGTTACTTAACTTTTAATATTCTTCTAGTAACTAGTATACACCTTTATATCAAAACAATTATTTATTTTGTTAATCTTTGTTATTGTTATTGCATTCTGAATATGACTTATAACATGTGTCTGTTCATTGTCTTTTCTGTAGTCTAAATGAAAAAGTTAATATGAAAGAATGAGCTATAATTTCTATGCTTTCTAGAAGTTGCTTAAGTATAATGATGATGCTATTTATAAAAATATTCGGATTAGTCGGATTTTTTATTTTCTATTTAAATTTAACTGTTGTAATCCAGTTTTTTATGTTTACGTAGATATCTGCTGTTGATGCTGCTGGGCAAGGGTGGGTTCAGCGAGGTGCACAAGGCGTTTGACCTGCGCGAGCAGCGCTACACCGCCTGCAAGGTGCACCAGCTCAACAAGGACTGGAAGGAGGACAAGAAGGCCAACTATATCAAGTGAGTCCGTATATGACGCCCAATCAACATCAACTATTTTTATTATGTACCTTTTTCTGTTATATAGTATACCAGATGCGTTTTTAAAATTGAAAATGCATTTAAAAATGTCTCCATCTCAAGGCAATAACAAATGTATTACTGTTTAATATATTTAACGTTTTTTGTGTAAAAAATAATTTTATTTTTGTTACAGACATGCACTACGGGAATACAACATACATAAAGCATTAGATCATCCGCGGATTGTTAAATTATATGATGTGTTTGAAATAGATGGAAATTCATTTTGTACAGTTCTTGAGTATTGCAATGGTCATGATCTCGATTTCTATCTCAAACAGGTAAGACTTCACTCCTACTAAGTATTACCTACATTCATTTCCATATTAGCTGTCGTACGCTACTCCGTCCGCGCTGGATTAAAAACAAAAAAAATTAATGAGTAGCGCCTATGTGTGCCAAATTTTATCGAAATCCGTTCAGCCGTTTGGTAGATACCTTCAAACAAACATTCATCCATCAATCCATGTAAACATTCGCATTTATAGTATTAATATGATGATTAAAGATTGGTATAATTTTTATTGTGCAAGTATTAATTTTTTTTTTTATAATTCCAGCATAAAACAATTCCTGAGCGGGAAGCGCGCTCTATTGTGATGCAAGTGGTGTCTGCGTTGAAGTATTTGAATGAAATCAAACCCCCTGTGATCCACTACGACCTGAAGCCGGGCAACATTCTGCTGACTGAGGGCAACGTCTGCGGTGAAATTAAGATCACAGACTTTGGCCTCTCCAAGGTCATGGACGAGGAGAACTACAACCCAGACCACGGCATGGATCTCACAAGTCAGGGCGCCGGCACTTATTGGTAAATTTCATTCATTCATTATTCTTCATTATTGTTACTGCGATTTGTTGAAATATTGTGATTTATTAAATCAATTTTTGTTATTTGTTGTGTAGGTACTTGCCGCCAGAGTGCTTTGTAGTAGGCAAGAACCCGCCAAAGATCAGTAGTAAGGTGGATGTGTGGAGCGTCGGTGTTATCTTCTACCAGTGCCTGTACGGCAAGAAGCCTTTCGGACACAACCAAAGTCAAGCGACTATTCTAGAAGAAAACACTATTTTAAAGGCAACTGAGGTTCAGTTTGCTAACAAACCCACAGTCAGTAATGAGGCTAAGGTAAATATATACTACCACTGAAATATTCTTTTAAAAATAAAATAATTATTAAATGCATGTAAGTGTACAGTCTCAAATAAAAAAAAAGTATCGGAGAAATAAAGTAAGCTAATTGGTGTTTTACTCAATAATGTGTATTAAGTTACTTCATCACCACATCACTCAATATCTATCATTGAAAAATTACGATTAAATAGCTCTTTGTTTTCATGTTGGCTATTGGTAAAGCGGAAACCCCATTGCACATTTTCAGAATGGCGAATCAAACAAATGTATTGTACTTATGTTGAAGTTTGCATTGATTGATATGTGGTTTATTGTATTTCAGAGTTTTATCCGGGCATGCCTTGCGTACCGCAAAGAGGAGCGCATCGACGTGTTCGGTCTGGCGCGGCACGAGTACCTGCAGCCGCCGATGCCGAAGCCGCGCGGCGCCGGCGCCCCCGCGGCGGCGGCGGCCGCGGCGCCCGCCTTCAACGCCGCCCTCTTCGGCGCCGGCTCCTCGTCCTAGCCGCGCCGCCGCCGCCCCCGCCACCCGGCGGCGCAGTGAACGTGCCCCACCCGCCCGCTCGCCCGCGCCGCGAGTGACCCCGGCGGCGCCCGCCCCAGTGCGGCCCTACTGTACATAGTGAACTCCGCAAACTGCCCGTACACGTATTGATTCGCCGGCGAATTGCATGCGCGCTCGCATTGTATAGTGACAGTGGTACGAGGGCCTTGTTGATAGTGACGGTGCTCGCTGCGCCACCTGGTGCCCGCCTATGACAGCGCCGCAGCGAACTGACTGTAAATAGAAACGCATGGCCGCGCGGACTCGGTGAAGTGCTCGGGGACGGTGTCTAGTGTCCTATAGGATTGTGGTGTCGCATGAGCGGGGACCGGCACGTGCCGGTGCGCTCGGCCGCCCGCAGCTCGGAGACCCGGAACTTGGGCATTTGAGCCTTATCAACATACTTTTTAGTTTTGAAACTTTGTCAGTTATTATCGAGAGTTGTAAAATGACTAAATATCATTTACAGATTAAATTGTTTAAGAATTATGCTTACTGTTGACTGTATTTATTGAGCAGGTGATAAAATGTGATTGTCCATTTGTGAATGGTTTTGTCCTTTTATCACTAGAGACCTTGGGATTATCCCTTGCATATTATATAAGTTATCCCTATTAAAAAAGTTAAAAGTATTACAGTTTTTTTTATTTACATAAATATCAGCGTCAGGCGGGTGTGGCATATAGAGAGATATGCTATAGTAGTAGGTTAAGATTATGGAATAATCAAAATGATAAATACATCCCAAATAAGAGACAATTTCAGAGTTTAGAGAAATGACAATAGTCTGTTTATTAAATAATAAACTAAAGTTAGTTTGTAATGCGGTGGCAAACAAGAGGTCAGCTGAAATGGCGAAGCGACCGCTGCCCATAGTTATTCGCAATTTCATATGCATCGCCTACCTTTAATCGACAGGGGATGGAGAGTATTTTCCCTTCCTATGCGTCCCCTCCACCATCATATCTACTTCCACATCCCATCCTTTGCAAGAAAAGGGTGAGACGAGAAAGCGGACTAAAGTTAGGCCTCTGGAACGCACACTCATCAGAAAAGCGCTATTCTTTCTACTTCATCTTACGTGGTAAAGTTAAATAATACTAAATTGCACGTAATTCGGTAACAAATCATATGCTTATAATAACGCTGCTTTAGCTAACTCAAACTTAAATTAAAAAAGTAACTCTCACTTCAAGATTCAAGTTTAAGTATGAAGTTTACAAGTTTTCTCACTAATTAATGTTTTTGTCCGATCCGTCGGCCGTCGAGTAGCAAGGGCTCACGCTGAATGCTTCCAGTCTCTATAAAATACTTTCAGCCAGCCATGAAATCAAAAAGTATACTCCAAGTCAGACGACACTGCAATTATTCTACTTCTGTTTATAAATACCCGATATTTTAAAGCTATTTCTAAAACTTTTGATGTTAACATTTTCTGGAACTTCTCCATTTTTTTCTTAAACTTCAGTTAGACCAATAAAATTTATTTTTGCAGTCGTTAATCCTCTTTCAATGAGGACATTACATTTCAACATTCTATTTAGCAGGTGTTAAATGTAAAATAGACTTTACGGTAACTTTTAATCTCTGGCTAGTGTTTATAAGAACTACTAACTAACGAAAACGTATTGAATTACAAGATATACTGTTATGTTCTACGCCAGAAAGCATCTCAAGCGAAATGTCAGGTGCTACTGCTAACAAGCACATTTTTGTAATCAATTGGCTGTTAATAGACACGCGGTACTATCTTGGTTTAATTCACGTTACAAACAAGAGTTTTATCTCAAAATATCACTGCACTTCAGCATGCTATGGAATATAATAAATTGATGGAGCAATTGACCCTCACAACATTTCGTTTTATACAACAATAAATTAAGACGCTACATTTTTGGAAAGAAAATTGAGGATTTTTTTTAATTTAGGCCTAATTTAGTCCTCTTTCCCTTCCCATCCTTTTCTTTATAAGGAAAGGATGGGAAGTGGAAGTGGACTTTCCGGATGAGAGGATGCATGGAAAGGAAAGATATTTTTTTTCTGTGCATCCTCTCCTCCGTCGATTAAAGGAAGGCAACGCATATGCAATTGCGTATGTCTATGGGCAACGGTCACTTCGCTATTTCAGCGATTTCAGGTGGCCGCTCGCTCGTTTGCCACCTTTTGATATAAAAAAATAAATAATCCCTACCATAGATTTGAATAATGAATGAAACGGAATGTGTGTTCTTCCTTACTAGGTTATTGCTCTCCAGGACCGGCATAGAGGGGAGGAAAATAAAAGAGCCGCCAGCTGCATCCGTATGTCCGAGGTAAAGTCTCCGCTCCTGGCGAATACTATGACGAAACTCATTAACCTACTGCCTTTAACGTGTACCTATTTCTTTATTTAAGTATGTTTTGTTCATACGAAATCAGTTTTTAAAAGAATAAATACATGTTTTGTTTTTTATAGGAAGAAATGCACTGTAAGCCACTTTACTATAAATACATTCTACGTCATTGAATGGTAGGATGCGACTGATTCTGGTATTTATCTACTCAACACGTTTAAATAGAAATTACTGTAACCTGTTCAACGTTATTCCCACGCGAACACATTTTACTATCTACCATTCTATATGTTAACAATACTAGATTGTGTATAAATTAAATGCAGACAACATTAACAAGATATAGAAATGGCCTTTACTGCAATGGATGTAACATTATTGATAAACAAACCAGAGTGGATCTACAAATGTATGATGACTAGCGTAAACAAACAGCATTAAAAATAATTATTGATTCATTGTGTAAGTGTACGTATATGTTATTATTATTTGCTGTATTTAAACCAACGTATCCGTTATGACGAGATAGATGAATGATTAAATAATAATTTACCTTACTATATTAATTATGTTGTTCATCACGAAACCTGGCTGAATGTTTGGGACTATTTTTTGACCTTAATTGATTGTTTATTGAAGAGAAAATATCAAATTAATAAGCTTAATCATACATAATGGTTACATTATACAGCTGAGAAGGGCGTATTTCTGT